CAAGACATAGGTGGGATTTGAATCACTACAATGCTACTTTTCTTTCTCAGTCAAAGGCTTTGTGTTCATTTGTGAAAAGCTTGAAAGTAGGGAAAAGGCAATAGATTGAATTTGGGAGGTTTTATAAATGCTCTGCAACTTTTTCCTTTGTCTGTTATCAACTTTTTGATGCAGATGTAGTTCAGAAATGTCACTGGCCATTTCCTTCTCCTGCTGCTTTTTGGCTGCATTTTCAAAAGCAGTAAATGGGAAAAGGGAGCTGAAAGATTCATAGGTGTAGGACCACTTATTTCAGCAGACAACTACTTTCCTATTGAATCACTCCCTATTTTTTTTTAACTCAACAGCAAAAAACTGAATGAGAATGCCATTATTTTTAAGGCTATAAGGAAACTGCAAAGGAGGGATACTGAGGCTAGCATAGATGAGCTTGTACTATAATCTTAAATATTTCTTTAATTTTGTGTATGTGGAAGGTACAGAGAGAGTATTTACGTGATTAACATGTTTTGAATAGTCGCTGCAACTTTGGGGACATAGCCTGCTCAACCAAATGATGGCGACTGTCATATGCATGACATCTGTAGAGTCTAGTACTTTGCACTACCACATGGAAAATATGACCCTGTGATTAGATTGGAAGGAGGGCTTAGCACACCATTCACTTGCTAGGGAAGTCTGAAGAATTTTTTTTTCAGGCCCAAGATAGTGTCTGGTTTGTTACAGATTCAGTGTGATAAACTGTCTTGTCCCCTTCCCCTTGTGGTAATTAGCTGGCCTAGGGAAATCATTGGAACCATTGTAGTTGCAGTCCTTGGTTTTCTAAAGGACAAGAATCATAGGTGATTACCTGCTCTGCTGGGACAATCTTGTCCCCATCCATCCAATGCTTTACAGTCTATATCCTGCAAAGATGAAAAGCAAGTCTTAACAAATTTCAGAACCAAAGTTTGGTCCCCCTGAAATGCCAGTTAAAGTATCTTGGCCTATAACTAAATTTGAGTCTCTTGAAGAATGCATGCTACCTATTGGATGTTTATTATTACCAAGTGTTGTGCATATAAATACATTATTGTATTCTAAAGTTATTTTGAAAAAGCACCATGGTTTTAGTGTTCTTTTGTTGTATTCCATAGATAACATACATATTAAATTACTTGGTCTCCTCATCTATCGTTTTGATAGAAAATGCAGATTTTTTTATATTATATGCTTTCTTTAACATAAGCAGCATTTTCTGGTAAGGTAGCATAGCTATGCGTTTGTATTGTTATAGAATTAAATTATTGATTCTGTCATTCAAAAGAAAATGATTTATAAATCAAGTAAAATCTCATAACTAAGATGAATACGTTTCTTGAAATCTCATGCTACCTCATATTCTATACTGTAGTTTTACAGCTCAACTTCATGTAATTTGTAAAGTGCAGGGTTTTTTCTATTTCTGTGTACTGATTTTGCTTTGTGAAAAATCTCATTAGTTTCCCAAGAAAAAGCTTAAGAAACGTTGCTATATTTAAGGACAGTGATATAAAAGCAAAAGGGTGTGTTCAATTTTTTTGCTATGGGATGGTTAAAAAAAACTGTGCCAAATACAATATACTTGCTCCCTTTCTTCTCTTTCTCTATGATTGCATTAATGTAATTGACATTAAAACTCTCTAAATTGTTACAAACAGTGAACTCACAATTGTTATTTTTCTTTATTTTTTAAACTAATCTATTGTTTGGAATTCCTGAATATGAAACAGTCCTTTTATAGGGAAATTTTTAGTTTGTTGTTTTTGTTGTTGCTGCTGTTTTGTTGTTGTTGTTGTTTGGTTTTGTTTGCAGAGGGGTACAATTTGCCTTCCATAGTTGTGTGCATTAATTGTTTAAACAAAGCTACCTAGGTGTCTTTGCAATCCTGCTTAACAGCTGGCTAATTTCTTTTCTCACTGCTGCTGTGTAACTGCCCCAAAACACAGGGCTTGGCGCAATGGCCCTGAGTGTGAATATGTAGCAAGATGAAAGATATGCAGAGGAGAAGGAAGGTCAGCAGTAGGTATTCAGACCTCGTCAGTGGGCATCTCCCACTCCAGCTGCAAATGGTCATGAAAAGGACTGAAATTCAGAAGAGAGGTCAGACTAGAGATAAGAGATTTAAGATCTGAACAATTACAGGGCTGGGTGAAACCTTGAAACAACTTCACTTCTGCAGGGTAAAGAGAGCAAAGAATTTAAACTTGAGCCTTGGGGAAATCTTTAATGTTATGGTGTGGGGTGAGGTGGAGGAAGCCCAAAGTAGAAGTATAAACTAGCGTGCCTGGTGGTAGAAGTCACCGTGTGCCATGCTTCCTCTGGACCAGTGAATTTTGAGGCAGATAACCTGTTATGTGGATGAAGGGTTGAGGATCTAGGCACTGATATCCCTGTAACTGTCTTTATACACAATATGACAAATATGAAATGAAGCTTATGTTTCCAGTAGGTGTACATTCATGGGAAAAAGACTCCATTTTTGTGATTTTTTGTGTGCACGTGCAGATTTCCTTAAATGTGCTGGAATTACAACTAGTTACTTATGTGAATTCAAGAGGTTTAATACCATTCTCAGCTCTTGCTACCTATAAATTCTTCTTTTTTAAGGATTTACAAAGACATAAAGGTACATTAAAATTTTCAGTTTTGTAAATCATTTTTAATTTGATTAATAACAAATTGAAGCCAGTTGTGGTGGTCCCTGTAATCCCAGCACTTTGGGAAAATGAAGCAGAAGGATCGCAACTGTAAGTCCTACCTGGGCAATTTAATGAGATGCTGTCTCAAAATAAAAAAATAAAAGGGGCTGGAGTTGTAGCTCAGTGGTAAAGCACCTCTTTGAGCTACAACTGAATTCAGTCCCCAGTACCACAAACATAAATGAATGAATGAGTAAATAAATAAATGGGAGAAAAAAGACAAACTCGAGAAAAATGACAGTATATCTTTTAATTTCTCAAATTAAATTTAAGGTTATACGCAGATTCTTATCGGGGGAGGTTAAACAATAGAGCCACCCAGTCTGAGTGATTGAATATGTTTCAACAGGTACAGGGGGTGCAGTTGAATAGGAGGCAAAACTTCTAACGTTCTGTAGCACAGTAGGGTGACTATGATTGACAACAATTAATTGTGTATTTCAATATAGCTCAGTAGAGAAGATTTTGAATGTTCCCAGCACACACACAAAAAATGACGAATGTTTAAGGTGTTAAACCAATTACCCCGATCTGATCATTGCATATTGTATACATGCATGAAAATATCACTGTACTCCATAAATGTGTTTAATTATGTTGTGAATTTTTTTCATTAAACATTTTAAAATTAATGAAGACACCCCCCCCCCCAGAGCAGTTGCAGTGCATTTGGGTTTTCAGTGAAATTATAGGAATGCTTTCATAGCCAGGTAACTGAATATGAAGACGTGGTTGCATAAAAGATGTGGTTGAATAAAAACACTTGATGAGCGAGCTCATTTTTCTCCTGCGAATTTAAGTGGCATAGTGACTTTCACACCTGGGTCTCTCTTTCTCCCCCAATAACTTCAAATACTGTAAAGACTCTTAGCAACTGTGGGGGGAAAATGGCTTGCAGTTGCCTGAAAAGGATTGTGGCAGACCTAATAATCTGAATGGCACTATGATTAGCTGCTGTGTGTGGTGCTCATGAGTTGAACACAATATGAGATGACATGATTATATAATAAACAACTAGCCCAGTGACATTGTTTGCTACCTTATAATAAACCATTTTAGCATTTAGGTGACACCAAGGATATGGTTGATTCCATGGAACTTATGTTATCCTATCATCTTTAAAGTGCTTAAATCATCACTAAAACATTCAAACTTCTGAGGATCCTATACTTGGTCTCAATTATCAAAGTAACTGAAGGCTGTAATGTCAAAAACAACTTGGCTGCCAGATACAGGAATTCATTATTGATTAGCAAATGTCAGTGAATCTCAGGATATTTCTCACATTCTGTAGGTTGGGGAAAAAGAGCTTTGGGACCTAGATCATCCCAATTAATGGGAAAAAAAAATATATATATATATGATGTCTTTATGTTGAAACAGGGTCTCACTATGTAGTTTAGGCTGGCCTTAAACTCACTATGTAGCCCAGGCTGGCTTTGAATTCATGGTGATCCTCCTGCCTCAGCCTCTGGAGTGCTGGAATTACAGGCATGCCCCACGACACCTGGCAACATTTATATATTTATGTGTGTATGGTTATTAACTATCTTCCCTGAGTGCTCTTGATTAATGACTTAACAGTTCACTCTGAGCATCACTTGGGCAGCGCATTTGTTTATGTACTGACTATCCCAAGTGTCACTCGGGCAGGTATCCTTTAAACTAGTCAATTCTTGTATTGAATAAACTTGATAAAATTGTCATTTTTATATTTCCTATTATACTATCTAATAAAAATTAATGAAAACTGCAATTTTTGGTCATCCTGTATTTAAATAATTGGATCAATAAGTGGTTAATTGTACATGGTGGCCCAAATCCTCAGTCTTACTTAATTTGAACATGCACAGATTTATAGCTCACATCGATTTTTTATTCAATTTTGTAATTTTTATTTAAATTTTATGATATACTATTTCTAATATTTTCTGTTATGAATGTAAATTTGGTGCATGTCAAAGTAGAGCAGAGTAGCAAAGAGGAGGTCAGGAATAAGACTAACTGGCTCTAGTTTAGTTCTAGTTTTGTCACTCTTTAGCTGTATGTCCATAGGCAAGCCATTAGCCTCTTTTAGTCTCAGTTTCCTCACTTGCATGAAGATTATAAGAGTATCAATTTTACAGGGTTGTTATGGAGCTTAAATGAACTAATTCATATAAAGGGCTTATGACAGTTCTTGGCTCATGATAAGAGCCTAATAAGTAAGCTCTTGTGTTCTTAATCATCTCTGATCTTTAGAAACACTAAATGAAAACTTGGCTTATTTTTTACTATTAGGGTCGGTGTACTAGAGAGAACTGCAAGTACCTTCACCCTCCTCCACACTTAAAGACTCAGCTGGAGATTAATGGACGTAACAATCTGATTCAACAGAAGACTGCAGCAGCCATGTTCACCCAGCAGATGCAGCTTATGCTCCAAAACGCTCAAATGTCAGCCCTTGTAAGTGACAGCCATGTCTTGAAAATTGCCAGTGTGTTGGGGGGGGGGGTATTTTGTTCTGTTTTGCCTTTGCAGTGCTGGGGACCAAACCCAGGGCCTCCCACATGCTAGGCAAATGCACCACCATTGAGCTATACCCCGAGACCCATGTTTTAATAAATAAAAGCATATTTATCTACATTGGAATAACCTTGCAAAGCCTTGGAGAAGTTAGTTACTACAGGATTTAGGACACACAGCTCATATGTTAATTGACACTTCAGAGCTATGCTCGTGAAGGCAGCAATCAGGTGTGTTGGATTGAAACCCTGGTTATATTTATGCATGAGTTCATTTTCGGGAAGAATATTAATAAACGAGCGGGCGGACTTTAAGATGAGGAGAAGGTTTGACTGTTAATATGGAAGCCTTTGGATTTCAGGACATTAATTTGAACAGAATTCTCTGTTATTTGATAGTTTTGTTGTTGCTTTTTACTAAACTTTTTATTTTAAAACAGGATTAGAAAAATTCTGAAAGCTGTACAGAGTTCCCATATTACCCCTCATCCAGTTTCCTCCACTGCTTTTTGCTTTGTTTTTGCCATGCTGGGGATCAAATTCAGAGCCTTCCTTGTGCTAGGCAAATGGTCTACCAAGGATCTACACCCACAGACCTCCCTTACAGTCTACAGTTTCTATTACCATGATTTATCAGAACTGAGAAACTGACGTTCACATATTACTAGTAACTTGAGTTTACTTAGACTTCAGCAGGTTTTCTATTAATATGCCTTTTCTATTCAGTGCCTAATCCAGGATGCCACAGTATGTTCAGAGTTCTCTCCCTTCACTCTGGTCTGTAACTGTTTCTCAGTTGTTCCCTACTTCCCATGGCCTTAACGTTATTGAAGAACACTGGCTGGGTATTTGATGGTGGTTAATCTAGCAGCAGAATCTATTTGCAGAAATTCATGAGGTTATGGTATCATTCTAGACAAGTGTCTAGTATTTTTGTATACAGAGTTTAAAGGTATCATTTGAAAAGTGATTAAGTTATAGCTGTTAATATTGTTCATTGAGAATTCATCTTGTCCTGATACTTTAAAATGTAAAGTTACATTCTGGTCTGACACTTCTCAGAGAGAACTGAAAACTGTCCCCTTTCTGCTGCCATTTTCCAGGTCTCAAATTTGGCATTCTAATTTCAGCTAGCCTACTTCCTTTAAGCTATTAACAAGATAGATTTGAAAGAGTTATGTTAACTTTATCTGTTGCCATTTCATCAATGACTAGGTAATAAACGCAATGAAAGCTAAAAGTTTTATGTGGTGTTTAGATGCAGTGAAAACACAGGAGTAGGATAACCTGCTCTCAGCAAAGCCTATCTCATTATAATATTGACTCTCAGAATTCAAGGAAATCTCCATTGATCTAGCACCCTTCAAGCAGCATATCTGCATACGTAAATACAACAGCTGGTGGGGACAATGATAAGTCACTAAAGTTTTGTACCGTGATACGCTTTATCCAGAATGTTTAGACAGATTTACTTAAAATGAATAGATTTCATGTCCTTTACCATTTTTAGTTTTCCAAAAATATTTGCCGTGGAACTCGGTGCTAATTAATTACATGGATAAATTAGTTTGAGGTTAGTTTGAGGTCACCAGTGAGCTTGTCAGAGAGCCTCTTTGACTGTCAGTAATACTTTATACAGTCACATTCCTGGGGTTTCACATGCTGGAGGATCACAGTTCCTCCCTACCTATAAGGCACTGTGGAAGAAAGACCTCTAGATACTGAGAATAATAGGAACAAAACCACCGAGGAGTGAACATGCTTGGTGAGTACAGGGAAGTATACAGAAAATGTAAGCACATGGGAAATAAACCAAGAGAGCTTTTACTTTTGACCCACTTTCTTAAGGTATAGTTGACAAATAAAGTATGTATATTTAAGGTGTACGATGTGAGGTATGTACACATTGTAAAATGAGACAACATGGATTAACCTGGAGAAATTTATGCTAAGTGAAATAGGCCAGATGGAGAAAAATACTGCATGATCTCACATATATGTAGATTATTTAAAAAGTTGAACTCACGGGGACAAAGAAGAGAAGGATGGGGCCGGGGATTTAGCTCATTGGTTTCACCACCTGCTGCGCAAGCGCAAGGACCCAAGTTCGATCCCCGGTACCAAAAAACAAAAGAATAGAAGGAATGGTTGTTAGGGAGTAAGGGGATGTTAGCCAAAGGTAACTGTAACAAGGGAGCACTTAACCCACCATTACTACTCTCAGCCTCTCATTAGATGTCTCAGTTGCAATCAGAGCAAGGAATAGGAGCAGTTTTATTGTGAAATACCTGAGCTGAGGCTATCCTATCATGCGAGAGCATATATCTTTTCAAAGTTCAAGTGCCAACTTCAGTGCACCAGCCAAATGCCCTGTCTCGGTGAGTCAGAGTGAGCAGGCATGTCTAACTTGCGGCCTGTGAGTTGGGCATGCCTGTCTTGCCTGAGTCCTGTTGAGAGAAGAGGAATTGTCTTCAGCTGCGTGGAAGTTATACAATATAGTTAATGCATATAAGTAACAAAATGTGAAGAAGGAAGTCAGGAATGCACTTTCTGTTCAGGTTCTGCTAGAGTCTGTCCATTCCAAGTCATAGTCCTGTGTGTGTTATTGCCCATGCAGGATCACACTGGGAGTGGCTTTTTTAGAATCCAATAAGAAATTCATTGAGTTTTCAAGCCTCTTGACTTGTGCTTTCTAATTCGATTCTAAATGCTTTCTATAACAGAACAAATTTCCTTTTTTTTTTCTTCAGTGAGGGTAATTTCAGATTTCAGATTACGGAAAATGACTGATATGACTCACAGGAGTACAGTTTATTTTATGGCATGTCACAAGATAAAAGGCATTACTTAGAACACCCCAGGGAGCAATTAGAAATTGCTTCTCTGTCTTGTAGATTATTTAACAATAGCTGTTGTGATGTGATAAACTGATAAAAGATTAATTTCTGCAATTCTGCATATAGAAATCTAACCCTGAGATGTTGATGTGCTCCTCTGTGGCCTGGAAAGCTGCTTCGTAGGTGTGGTATAATTGAGCTAGTGTGAGCAATTTTAAGTGGCATTTATCAGTCTGATCTGGAAGAAATCTATTATAGGTCCTGATGCTGATATTATTACAGAAAAAATGAAAAAAGGAAATAATGTATAATTTTACTCAATTTCCCTGGTACTCACCGTCCTCTAAACAACTACAGTACAGTATATGTTTTAATCACTCCACTCACCGATAATCTGATATTTGTCCTTAGAATTGTCAAGCTTTTGTTTAAAATATTTCTAGTCTTTGTATTTCTGTGCTTGTACATTAAGAACCATTTGTATCACTGGCTTGAACTTCAGGTCTTTACACAAAGCATCCTTTGGGCTGTTTCTAGGATACCAGAAGAGCACATCTGCCTTTGCAAAACTGAATATGGTTTGCTTATTATAAGCCCCTAGATAAAAGGAATGTCAACCTAAATGGTAGCTAGAGAACAGATTCTGTTCAGTGTGACTGAACAATGAATAAAAGCCACACCTAGTCACCTAGTCAATTTTGGTAGAATGCTTGCTGTAGCAAGTTTATTCACTGTATTTAATAGGTCTGTTTTGACATTTGCTAGTATAAAATTCTACCTCTGAAAGCTTTCTGTTGGCCTTATTAAGGAAGTTTAGCAAGTGAAACAAAGGATGTGGCTCCACAGAATTTTTCAGAAACTATTCCTGATACGTGTGTATGTATCTATATGTGTGATCAAGAACTCCCCTTTGCACAGTTGGAGGCAAGCATGAATATTATAGAGGAATGTTAGGAAAAGTAGACACACAATTACTTTCAAGCATTACGAACATTTTTCACTTTTACACTAGGAATTTTAGTTAGGGGGGAAAAGTAGTCTAACTTTTGGGTATGACTACATATGTATATAGTAGATATAATGTTATAACTCTACTAAAATGTTTTTATTTAGACAGTTTGCCTCTCTAGACTTGTCCATATCTGGGAAATTTCTTTGGTTTCTCTCTTTGAATGTGGTGGTTCATATGGACACAGATCCTGATGTATAGGTGAACTTGACCCAGTAAATTATATTCACCTGATGACTTATACAGAGGGTGTTGGCTCGGGACAGTTGAGGTTGCACTGGGGGCATGCCAAGCCCTTTGGTTTGGTTATGCTTTTCATGGCTTTCATTCCTGTGGCCGAGTTCATGGAGTCCAAACCACAAATGCTATAAACAAGGGTTTTACCCCATGATTTTCCTTTATCTCCAGTTAAATCATTTGATATATGTCTGGACATTGGCCTACCTCTCTTTACATCGCTTTTGAAATTTTACTTACCAAACGTATATCTAAGAAATAGGATTATATATTTAGCTCACATTAATATAGTAAGCAATGTAGGTGATGTAGCACTTCAGAACCAAAAGAAAAAAACAGGAAGTTCCAGTGGATAGGAGGGATTATACTATGTAATTAATTATATACTAATAAATATAATTATTTTAGACTACAGCATTTTAATGTTTACTTAAATAAAAGCTAGAAAGTAGTATATTTGTGAAAATTTGGACTAGAATAATTTTAAGAGACTGGACATAAAATTAGAATATATTTAATTTTTGAAAATAAATAATTAAGTGATTTAGTAGTTGAAACCAAAATTAGAATTTCCTTTTCTTCACCAAAATCTAGCCTATATTTTGCATTTTTTGTATTAGATTTACAATTTTTTAGTTCACAAAAATTTTATCAACTGATATATTTATGCTAGAGAGAATAGTTATTGTCATGGTCCTTCTTTTAAAAGTTACATGGGAAATGTGGTTCAGATATTTTGCAGTTTTTAAGGGAAAAGGAAACTCGGGAACCACCTGATCCCAGTATATGAGTACCCTCATCCCACCCCCGGGTGCTGTGAGACTTAAGAAAGAGGTGGGCAGATCCAGGATTGCACAT